ACAAAAGCGGAAAACAAATAGCCAGGGCACAGCATGAACAAAGATGAGTTATGTCCTCTGACTCATAGAGTAGAAAAGCAACGAGCGGCTTCATGTCATGCACTGAGAAACTGTCATTTTCATTTTAATGCCACAGATGGTGGAAGAATAATAACCATTCTGCCATCTCACTACGCAATTTGCTTCATATTGTACAGATTGTCTTCTCCTCTGGCTCATCCTCCTAACTATGTACTGGCCTAAAAACTGATGATTACACAATGTAGATGCTCAGAGAGGGGCGTTCAGCTGCCACGAGATGAAAACATTCCAAGGTGGAACACAGAGTCCAGTTCAGAACCCGGGCTTCCCCTCTATGAACATGCAAGAAGAGTGTCAGAAGAGAGTGTACACCTGGTGAGCACTTTACAGCACGTAGGTGACATTGTTCAAACTGAGGCAAAGGCACGTGTGGCACCCAATTCCAAAAGGACTTTCCTCTTAGAGTAGCTACAGCCAGCGTGCTGACCCGTGTCTCCACGTGTCGGTGCGTGGTAACTTCTCTATTACGAAGCCCTTCCTCTCCCCCTGGCAAACGCTTACCCTCTGCCCTCCCTCCCCCCCTCCTCCAGTCTCTTTCCAACATCCCTTCCCTAGTGAATGTTCTGTCATCACCCTGCATCCTCAGTGCTCCTGGAAACCGGGAATATAGTGCTACTGACTTTTTTCCAGGTGTTACAACTGCTGACCGTGCCTCCAGCTCCTTTTTGAGTCTGACTGCACCTCGAGGGCTGTTTCTGTGGTCTTTGTAGCTCAGAAGGGCGCCTGGCCGTTTTCGGAGTAAGTGCTCACAACCCTTTGTGGCTGAAAGGAGTGAGAGAATCTACATTTGCATGGTCTTCAACTTCACAAACAATAAGAAATGCCTGAAACTTTCAAAGAATAAACTCAAATTCAATGCAAATTAAGGCCCGGTTAAGACTCAAGAAACATTTCCTTCCAATAAAGACCTGGATTATCCCCAGTCTGGGGACTAGGAGAGAGAGCAAGTCGTGAGATGTGGTCTCAAATTCAGGCCATACAAGTCACCTTCCTGCTTTTAGTTCTGTGGCCAAACTATTTAATAAAAGATGTCCTAGAACTCTGATTTTTTCCCAAAGATATTATGCACTAAAATACCTTCGCACATCCCTGTTTCTATGGAAGCACTTGGAGAATGAGTCGATTTGCCTTGGGAGAAAAACCATCACTTGTTAGATAATATCACCCTCCTGAACTCTGGCAACAATTACCAGAAGCTATATTCTTAATCTGGCAGCATGTATGATTTAAACAAGCAGACAATAAAGCTTTCTCTAGATGAGAAATAGAAATTTAGTTTGGGTTCAGAAATTGACAAAACACAGACTTCAGGACTACTGGCAGGAGCAAAACTAAGTCAGAACACCACCCAAATCAGTTCACTACTGCTTCGAGTAAGCCTCCTCCATTAAAATTTTAAGTAGCACACATTAGAATTTACTTCTTTGCAAAATACAGAATCCCAGAATTGCAAA